AGGTATTTGTGGATTGCCAACCCAAGGATGTCTATGTCTTGCTCCCCTTGCCGGGGACTCCTTCCTGACACATCCCGGGATTCCACATAAAGTCCAACACCAGAAAGACGCTGAAGAGGAGGGCTGCAATCCTCTGGGACAGTAAACAGCTGGGCATCTTTGGGTGATGCCTTGCCATGCACTGCCGTCTGAAAGAACCATCCCCAAACCTTCAAGAGCTGCTTGTCCAACATCCTTGCGCCACTTCGGACAGAAACCACAATTGTGCCACTTTTGCAGAATTTGCAGGTGGCCAAAGCAGGAACATGTGTTTGCAGGATCTGTGATCTGCTGCTGAAATTCTCGCCAATCGCCTTGCCACTCATCTCGATCCAGATGGAGTTTCAAAGTGCATGTAGGAACAGTATCAACTCGAACTGCCTTGTGAGCAAAATGGGCTCTGACGTGGCCTTGTATTCAGCAGCAAAACGAACTTCTCCTGATGGCAAAAGCCCTTGAAGATCCGCCGGTGCAACTGTGACCGTCAAAAAACCCAAAGAAATTGCTTTGGCAGCCTGCAGGAAGCCCATAATCTGGGAGGGCGAGACAATCGCCAAAGGTCTGGTCTTCGCCGGGAACACTGAGGCACTTCTCGTCCCGAAGAGTCCACAAAGCATCCTTTGTGCAGAACCAATTCCATAGGATCAAGCACAGATGTGCCTTACACTTGGGCACTCCCACAAACTGGGCTGCTTTGCTTTCAATGTAGCTCTGCAATTCATCCTCTTTTACCCAAAAGTCTTGCTTTTGCGATCAGTGAGAGCTTTGAGCTTGCGCCAAGGATTGTCCGATTGTTTGGCTTAGGGAGATGGCCTTAAGCGCTTTTCCAATCCTTTGCTCAACCTTCTCTTTCGACACTCCTTTCTCACAGAGGAAGGTCTTCAGCCATTCTGGAATCACCTGATATGAATTGCCTTCACCAGTCGGCGCAAAAGTCCTCCACTTGAGCAATTGCCTGGGTAGTTTCATGGTCAGCGTCCACAATGACCCCAAGGAGCCATGCCATGTGACAATCGCAAGTGCCCTACAGATAGAGTCCTTTCTCTGAACAAGAAGATTGGTGCGGTTCAGCTCAAAATAAGTCTTGCCCAATGCCTTCTGGAAGGCCTGAAAGAAAGAACGAACCTCAGCCAAGATAGTTCCAGTGCGAGCATCAGGGAAGAGCGCCAGAAGCATGTCCTCCGTCCATCTCACATGAACAGCCAGCCAATGCCCCTCAGAAACAATCAGCATCATCGCTTCCATCGTGCCACGTTGATCCAGATGTCGGCAAATGCGCTCCTCCAGTTGACATGGAGAGAGGCCCCCATGAGGTTGTGGGCCTTGATGGGATTCACACACACAAGGTCACCCTTCTCTCTGGTAATTTCATCAATGAGACCACTATCCAGGCCCTTCTTCCCAAAATTTCGCACTGGACCCAGTGAAATTCAACAGCAAGGTGGGTGTTGATGCACTCAATGAGACGAGCGCATTCCGGGTCTGTCTCATCCAAGAACCCCTCCGGTTCATAGGCATCCATCTCAAACTCGTTCTCACCTGCTCCCCAAAGTCTCGTGGTGGCAGCAATTCGAACTGGATGGAAACGCGGTCAGAAAGAGCCATCGGCTCCGAGTATGTGACATTGTCGAACGAGGCCAAAAGGCAGGCCCGCCTTCACAATTGCAAGTTCCAGAGGAGTCCCCTACAAAACCCCGACAAAGGTCAAAGTCTCTTCAAAGACGAACCGGATCTTGATCTTGCCCCCAAAGTCAACAAACAGCTCCCCTCTTCTTGGTCGTCTGATCCAAAACATATTCGCTGGAGGTCAAAAGCACATGACTTGGAAGCACATGTCCTTGGATCATGAGATCCCCCACCGTAGGGCCCTGAGTAAACACCAGATCCTGACACCCCGAATCACCCCAGACTCGGGCGACTGATGAAGAGACGAAAGCGGAGGCCAAGTCACCCTCCTCTGCCACAGGATCAGGGCCTGATACTTGAGCAAAGCATTTCTGGATTATTCTGGATGGCAAATCCTCGAAAGGCTTGGAAGAATTCCCCCTTATTGAGCCTCCATCACCACCCACACAACCTGCATAGCGGAAACAGCATTGCCCAAGACACTCAACATCGCCCTCTAGTTTGCCAATGAAGCTGACGGCGTCCAATGTCATCATGAGCTGATGTCACGACCGGTCCACGAAGACCTGAGGTTTCCAGCCTAGAATACTTGAAGCCACCACACGGACAGCTTCTCGTAGCAGATCCCCATGAGTGAAGAGCTGTTTGGCATACTACCCTCAAGGCTAAGAATCCTGTCCCCCCTCGTGAGCTTGTTGTCAAAGCGTGTGTCCGGGATTCAGTTCGTTGACTGTGACTTTGTCCTTGGCAACACGCCTTCACTTCTTTTCATACCGTTGGGGAACCACGCACCTTCTCGATATTCTCTAGAGGCATTGAGAGGGAAACAGGAGAGGCAAACAGTGATTTTACAGACTTAATTACGTGCCAGCAAGGATGTGTCACTCCAAAGGGCGCGGGTCCACGCGTGCTCAGGCTTGCTTTTACCAGCAGAGGCTGTGACAGCAGAAAAGTTGTGAGCCAGGGAAGTCGGTCTATTTTCAAGGGGCAGATCATGCACCATCTCATCTCCAATATTGCCCGGCCAGTATTCCAACTAAGTTAGACTGTAATAACTGTAATAGTTGAGTCCAACTAACTTTTGATGGCTGATGGACAGCGGCAGTTTTATGACTCACAAGTTTCAATCCTTCCAGACGCGGTCTCAACTGAGATTGTTTGTTGTGAGGTCCTTGGAGCAGACTTCCACATGTGGCAAGACATGTCACGATGCATTCCGCTGTATTTTGGGCCCTAAGAGGACGGACGTTTGCAGAGCTAGCCACGACTCCTTGGTGATCCGTACAGCCGTACAGCTTGCAGGAGCAGCTGTTGGGCAGAGTCTTGCAATGTAGTTTCTTGTGGTGGAGATGTTGAAGAAACTTGCCAGTTCGCAAGAGTTGCAAACATCTAGCAGAACCCTTTTTCTTCCTGTGATTCTGTGATTGACTGTCAGCTTGGAGCACCTCAGTTCCAAAACAGGGGTGTGATACACATTTCCTGAATAGAGAGCAACCTGGAGGCCCATTTATTGCTTTGTTTTTGCTGGTTTGGTTTGTTCGTTTCCAAGCCTAGTTCACGGGAAATCACTGGAGCGTCCTTTCAGGATCAATGAGTGCTAGTGCAGGCAAGACAGGGGAAGCGTCCGATCTTTGTGTTATAGACGGTGAGTATGGAGCACTTTGTTGGCAAAGAGTAAAGGCAAAACCCATTATAGAATCTGTGCCTTGCCAGGACACATGTATAGAGTTCGTTAACTTTTCATTATCAAGGGTCACTTGCGGAACAATTCTTTGGCAGAGCATGAGGTAAATTGGGTTGAATGCACTCTCCTTGGCATGTCGGTCTTGAATAGGACCTCGTCAGGGAAGATGGACCCACATTCGCCCTTTGCACTTGTGTGATGCAAGCAAGGTGACACCTGATTTGTAAAGCCACGGTCCATACACTTGAAGATGGATCTTCTAGAAAAAGTCATCCAATCTGAAAGGCCTGGGTCCATGTGCTGTTTGTAGGCTATAGGTTTATGTCTGTATAGGTTGTAGACTAGGTGTGATAAGAGGGAGGGCAACCAAGCAGAAGTCCTGATTTGTGAGGCCACGGTCGATTGGCATAGGCTTAAAGATGGGTCTTTCTGCAAAGTCGAGGGCGTTGGAGGGAACTTTTTGGTCTGACAAGCTTCATCCAACTCCGATATAGTTGGCGAGGTGCAGAGGTTGATGCCAAAGGTGAGGGGCTCAGAATGGGCTCAGAGCTTGCGCAAGGCTGGTCCAAGTCACTCAAGTTGGGATGTGGAATGGATTTGGAGATCAGAATTGCAGCTTCAGAATCTTCAGGTCGTGCATTTGTTTAAATATCCGGAGGCCCTGACTGCAGAGCCATCACCCACTGGTCCCTAAACCGAGAGTGGAAAACTTTCGACCTCACATCGTCCAAGGCCGGTCCGCGCTGCACCTCGCCGCCTTCAACGGGGAGAGGGAGGAGGTTGAGCGGCTTGTGACTTCAGGAGCTGAGATTGAAGCCACAGACAAGGAAGGCTGGGCGCCCCAGATCTCCGCGTGTGCATTTCAAAACGTGAAAGATTGGAACATGCTTTCCCCAAACTTAGTTGAAGAATGTCGACATGCTTTGGCAGCCGGAAAAAATGAGCCAGCAGAGCCAGAGTCAACCTTGAACAACCTTGGAACATCTTGGAAATATTTGGAAGCTGCATGAAGTTGGCTGATTTTGCAGCTTTGTGGGTCCGAAAGTCCCTGCCACATTAAGGCCCTTTCATTGAAATGGATAGTGTTTCGGCTTCATAGTCTTCATACACCCCAGCAGCACGCATGGATCGAGCCAATTGAAGTCCAGTCGATTCAGTCTTAACAAGGCCAGATTAAAAAGGCAAGAAAAAGATGCTTGTTTGTTGCCCATGGTCCGCATGGATCCGCATCCTTTTGCACCTCTGAGGCTTCACTCCATTGCATTTGGCTTCCGAAGCGGGCCGCCTGGACGTGGTCGACCGGCTCACCGAAGCCAAGGCCGACTTGGAAGCGAAGGGTGGCCCATCCCGCAGGGAGCCCCAGAGGCTTGGAAGGCTCGGAAGGTCGGAAGGTCGATCAGATTCTGGTCGTGTTCGGCCTGAAAATGGAAGCGACAAAGAGACGCGTGACAGGCTTGAAAAAATTACAGTAAATTGATGGGGCAGTGTGCCAGGGTTCAGTTGATTCATGTCTCAAAAAGGCCATAAGAGGATGCTCTTATCAATGCGGTACAATCACTGGTATGCACGTTCGCGGAAAAGTCTTTGATGTTTGGTGCACGGTCAACTCGAGCAGAGGCCACTGGACGCAATAGCCTTTGCAATGGAGAAACTTCCAATTTGCTGGGTGTTCGTCGTCAAGAGTCCTGCCCATGGTGCCCCACAATAGCGTCATGGAATGTGATAGACATGCTCGCTCCCAAGCAAAAGAGATGGCCTGCCATTCTTCATGAATTGAGAGGGGCATCAACTTTTCAATCACGGTGTCTTAAACCAACTTCTTTCCACGTTTTTTCCTCCACCTCTCCCGGAGAAAACCAAGTCCTGTCGACTCTTCGGCGCCGCCACCGCCGAGGCCTTACGCCGCTGCATTGGGCGGCGGAGAAGGGCCACCCCGCCACGGTGGACCGGCTCGTGGCGGCCGGCGCCGCCGTCGACGCGAAGACCAGCCAGGGCCGGGGCACCACGGAACGGCGGCGCCACGGATCGGGCTCAAAGGACCGGTTTGGGAGTGGAAAGTCTCCGGTTTTTCCGCCGGATTTGTCATTCTGATCAGGTCAAAAGGACGAGTTCGGAAGGGAGAACCAGAAAGAGTGCGAATCTGGATGAGTCGTGAGTCATGATGAGTCAAGAAGACAATGTCAAGGATGAATGTGGAGCAATTGAATCAACTTCTTCCTGGCTTCATTCAATGCTGTGCCAAAAACTTGGGATTGGTGGTTGTTTTGTGCCCTGCAGGCGACAGAACATGAATGGAGAGAGCTAGAACCAGGAGATCTCAAGACTAAGCAACACACCGGTGAGATTTCGAGCATACGCAAACAGAGTTCCAAATGTCCAAAGTGACCACCCATTCTTCATGAGTTGAGAGGGGCATCAACTTTTCAATCACGGTGTCTTAAACCAACTTTTTTCCACGGTTTTTCGTCCACCTCTCTCCCGGAGAAAACCAAATTCCTTTCGACTCTTCGGCGCCGCCACGGCCGAGGCTGGACGCCGCTGCATCTTGCGGCGTGGCACGGCCACCCCGCCACGGTGGACCGGCTGGTGGCGGCCGGCGCCGCCGTCGACGCGAAGGAGGACATCAGTGGCCGGGGCACCACGGAACCTCTTTCGGGTTCAGCGGATCGGGCTCAAAGGACGACGAGAGAATTATGACGAAGGACGAGAGGGAGTCCTGTTGGGTGAGGTCCTCGAAACTAAAGGGGAGAGTTGGATCCAAACTTGCATGTTGATTCATCTTATTTTCCTGATCCTTTGATGGTTTTGTTTGTGCAACTGTTTGAATGCAAGTCAGACTTCGTGAACCCCGAGAATCCCCCCAAAAAAGCAAAGCAAATCCGTGAAACCCTCCAAAAGGATCCAACTCGACGTGCACGCGCCTCTCCGCTGATTCCCTTCCTGCAGACCCTTCAAAAGAGGAACTATTCTCCGCTCGTCCTCCGCGCCGCGTCCTGAGGTCAAACGCCTCTCCACTACGCGGCCGTCTCCGGCCACTCCGACGCGGCGCAGCGCCTGGTCGACCTTGGCGCCGACGTCGACGCCCAAAACAACGCCGGCCCGGGGCGCCCGGATGAGCGGAGAGCGGAGCGGGTCGGGGTCGAGGTCTCTCGGCTTCTTCGCTGGCGACGGGTCGCTTGCGCCGAAGCACAGCGCGGCCGAGGCCAAACGCCCTGGGAGTTGGCCCAAAGGCATGGCCGCAAGACGCGGATGGCGCCGGTTCTGCGTCCCGTGCCTTGGCAGTGCCTAAGTCGGGTGATGGGCTCCCAGGAAGAGAGCGGGTCGAGAGGAGGGAAGGAAAAAAAGGGGTTCTCGTTATAGGGGCGGGTAGGTTTTTTTTTGGATGGAGGATTTGTGATTTGGATGAGGTGCTGCATAGCTCTTGGCACCACCAGACCATGTTTCATTGATTTCGTTTGATTTAGTTTCCGTTTTTGAACTGGTGGATTTGTTGCGAGTTTGAATTGGCGAGTGTTCTTTTCTTGTGTGATTTCTTCAAACCTTTGAGAGATGATGAGGGATGTTGGACTCGGCGCATTTTGGAGCTTAGACTTCGTAACGGAAAAAAGCAGCTGTTGAAGCAACAATTGTCCGTCCTCCTACCCTCGCTTTCCATGATTGCTTTCCTTTTTCAAACCTGGCATGGAAGAATTGCGCTCTCGCTAGATGGGACCATGTTTGTTCTGGTTACATGCTTTGCACCAAATCAACCAGCAAGTGCGCGACCTGACAATTCATTGCTTGACTTGCAAGGAGAAGTTCCCCCCGGATTCCAATTTGGTCGTTCATGCGCTCACAGACCAGTTCCCCAAGCATGTCAATGGACCACCAACACCGTGCAGCGGCAATGCCGGTTTGGAACGTCATTCCACATTGAAAGCAAGTTCTTATGTAGTTGAGAGTGTTTAATGTTTCTGCGAGTGTTTTAGTTCACAGGGCTATAATATTTGTTTGATAATCTGAAATCAGGTCTGGGTGCCATGTGAGCTTTATCACTGGCAACAGAGTGTCAGTTTGTTCTTTCCAGATGTTCGGCGGCTTTGCAGACTTTTCAGGTGTATGTCTCTTCCCTTGGTGGACGAAGCGTGCCCTGCAGCTTGGCAATGTTGACCAGTTGTGTGCGTCAGCTGACCATTTTGGTTCACCTC